TTTAGGAACCCCTGACTGCACTTCAACACCAAGACACTTTAAACAGCAACACTTACCAATGCAAAGAAGAGAAATGGGGAAAACGTGGCCCTAGATAGACCACAAAAGGAGACTCATTTACAGTAGGTGAGCTGAAACAAAAGGCAGACCACTGCCCTGTTGTTCTGTTCAACGGGGAAAACAGCCACTGGACAACTCACAAGAATAATCTCCAAAACACCTTGAATATTGTTTGGACGTTACTAGCAAATTTTAGTGAATGGGGAATTTCTAAGTATGGAATCCATGAACAGCAGGGACTGACAGTATATTTCCAACTCTTTTGAATTTATGACTCTCTATGATCTATCCCTCACTCCTAAAGCCAACTCTACGTCTGTCTCTCTGGAGGCAACGTAAACACTAGCTGAACGGAACAACCCCGGTTTCTCAAGCACACAGTGTTCTTTCATCTTTCACAGCTATTCTGTACCCCACATCTTCTCATCACCCTCCTGGGACAACCTATTACTCCCACATTTCCCTAGCCCATCTGTCACAGTGTCATGGGACTCTGGGCGCTTTTCCAGTAATTTGAATAATAATCACAACATCCTAATTATTAGAGCTCATTTCATGGACTGTTTACTATGCACCCAAGCACTGCTCTCAACAATTTACAAGTAAGAACTTAACCTGCACAACTTATTGACAGAGATCATTAGTATCCTCCATCAGAAAAGAAAACGGAACTGAAAATATCAAGTACCTTGCTCAAGTCACTCAGCAGAGGAGTAGGAGCCTCAGAAAGGGATGTGGGCCACCCGAATTGGAGCCTAAGCTGAATCACGGTGCTGCGCTCTCACAGTAACTGCTAAATCTAGGAGCACTAAGATGAAGATGCTTCTTTCAGCAGTATGGGGACAGGGATGGAAATAGAGGAAGGAATACAGAAATACACAGTTCACTCCATACCTTACCATTGGCACCCAAGAAGAAAATATTCTAATGACAGCAAGCACTGTGTGTGGAATTATATCTGTGTACTATGCATAATTATCTTTTATCACATAAGAAGGTAGAAATCCTCTTAAAAATTAGAAGAACATGAATCTTAATTCTGAAATAAGATTTTTATCATTACCCATTATCTTTTCTACCTTCACATCTCAGTTGTTTTTTTTTTTTCCTTAAAGATAAACCTGAACAAATTAAGGAGAATGTTTATAAAACTTCATAGGTTAAAGCACATCGTATGGTTTAGAAACAATTTCTTCAAAAAAAAAAAAAAAAAGATAAAGAGTGTATGTTGTCCTCAGTGAAGTTAAATAAAAGGGTTGGGTGCGGTGGTGCACACCTGTAATCCTAGTGGCTCAGGAGGCTGAGGCAGGAGGATCATGAGTTCAAAGCCAGCCTCAGCAACAACGAGGCACTAGGTAACTCAGTGAGACCCTGTCTCTAAATAAAATACAAAATAGGTCTGGAGATGTGGCTCAGTGGTTGAGTTACTGTGGTTGAGTTACCCTGAGTTTAATTCCCGTTACCAAAAAAAAAAATCAGGTATTTTTCTGTGTCTTGTAGAATCATACAAACATTTAATCACTTTGGATTGAGATTTTGGAGTTATTTTATCAGAAAAATCTGTTCCATAGTGACACTGTGCTGAGAAGGAATGAGAGGCCCATCTGCCTTCTCAAAGATATTGCGGTTCATTATCCGTTAACAAACTGTTCTTTCTGCCTTGTTGGAAAACTCAAAAACATGCCTTTGACTACCATAATGTGATTTCCCAAAAAGGAAGGAAGGGAAACACCATGGCTAACTACACCCTGGATTCCAAGCGCCATGCTAATCACCAAATGATGGCCTGGCAGGGCCCTCCAGCAACCTTGAAATAGAAAAGTCACTGTCCATCTTCACAGCTGAGGAAACTGATGCCACACAAGTATTTTCCCTCAGAAGTAGGGAAACTTACATTAAAATCTAGAGCCACCCCTTCCTACCTCCAGGACTACAAAGACATCCTTTAACACTTCCTAGCTGTTGCCTAACTTGGAAGAAATGAAATAAAAAATTCAGTTCATCTTATGGATTAAATTTTTCTTCAGAGAGATTCAAAATATCATTCAAGCCTCAAATTTCTCCTTCAAGTTCAGTGAGGAGTGTAAAGGGAAGACGACATTTCTTTTGGGAACACAGAGATAATTCTGTACAGAGTGCTAACTCCGCCTAGAGTCTGCAGCCAGCTTGCAGTGTTGCAAAACGGCCTCTAGGTGGTGCAATGAGCCCGTGAGTCCCTGGACAGGGGCTCATTTATTTCTGCCATTATTCAAAAGTGAAAATACCAGCTTGTCAAAGTGGTTGGCTCACTTCCAGCACAGAAATCATTACTCAACAGTCTTTCCAACTTCTAGACTCTCTGATGCAAGACCATGGCCTGGGAGGAGCTGTAGGGGAAGATCTAAAAATTTAAACTAAGAAGAAACCACAGGGAAAAATAATAATAATAAAGGAAACCAATACTCTTTTTGTTATTCTCTGTTTGAGGTTTTCTTTTTCCCTAAAATAACTTTTCAGGTCCTTGGGAAGGGGACTCATCAATTCTGAAGGCCTTAACATCACAATAAATTGACTTTCAGCAGGGGAAAAAAAATGCTTCATTAAGTACTCATAAAGCAGAGCACTCACCAGACACAGAAAATGAAAACTGAGATAAACCCACAGCAGAAGTGTAGAAGGAATTAGCAATAATGTAAAGACAGATGGAGCTACATTGAGAAAAATTACTCCCATGTTGGCTCATGGAATAGGCTGGAGATTTTATATAAAAACAGAGTCCTGCCCCCCTTACTATATAACCTTCAGAGGGCCCAGAGCCTGGAATAATTCCAGTTCTACTCACTGCTCATTCCCCAAACTTAATCTCTCCTCTGTCCCTTTGCACTATGCACTCTGCTACCCCCAAACCATCAAGACTTGGGGCAGGGGCACAAGGCTGTCCTGCCTCCAGGTAATTTATGGAAAGAGCTCAGCATCTGCATTTTCCACATAATTCAAAAGAAATCCAGGCAGTGACAGAAAGATGATAAAATTGCAGCAATACACGGGTACCAGGCTCTGGGCCAGAAAGGGGTAGCAGAATCAGTCAGGAGTATGTTTGAAATGCACACACCATAATCTCATCCTAAGTCTGATATGACTTAAGGGTAAGGCAAGAGGCTAGGGTATTTTGCCAAATCTCTCAAGTGATATGGATATGTCCTGCACAGCACAGGAAAGTAAAATTAGAAAGAACTGGAAGGGAGGCAGAAGGCAAGTGTTGTCCACCTTCCCTGGGGTATATCTTTGGGAAACTGCTCTTCTTACTCTAAGTAAAAACAGGACCTTGATCATCAACACACACCAGGTATAGGAAATTCTCACCTGGTCCATCAATCCTGACTCTTTCTGCTGAAAGTTTTAAAATTCAATTCACTAAGAGATCAAATGTTGAATGTCAAGGTCAAAATACAGGATATGATGGTGTAAAAATTCTGTCAGAATACCTTTTTAAAGCAAGTTCCAAAGCTGAATACATTGCCAACAAATATTCTTATTAGAAAAGACAAGTTGAAACTAACATTATAAAAATGGTAACTTAGATTATTTTTCTAAGTTTAAAAGACATTATTGAAGAGGGATTGAAATATATATATATATATATATATATATATATATATATATATATATATATATGTCAGTGTGACCCACTGTTAGTTAATGTATAAATTACAGGATGTTAATGGATAGTAATGAGGCAATATCAAAAGTATCAAAAATATCTACCATAGATAATTATAGCTCCACAAATTTATACTAATAAATGTGATCATAGATGTGCATAAATATTGGGCTGCAAAAATGTTAGAAATTTAATGAAAGTTATTAATAGTTTTCAAACACTGAATCAGTAAAAGAGCTTACTTAGTTAAATCAACTTCAGTACATTTAAATTAAAATAAATAAATAAATATCTCAATAATGAAAAACACCTATTATCTGAAACGAAAGTATTTTTAATTAAAAATTTCGAAGAAAATTCAAAAACATTGTGAATTTTAAAGAAAATTCCTATAGAAGACAAGTCCTCCCAAGTAACATATAAAGTACCAGACTACTTTTGTTAAATGTAAACATTAACATATGTATACAATACATACATACACATAGTGTACATGTTAGTATATATTAACACCCGAGTATGTGTACATGTATATATACAGGTATAATTTTGTCCAAGAAAGAGTATTTAAAATTAAAAAAAAAAAGTACCTAGTTATTTCTAATCACTGAAGCCAAAATCTCATTCATGTCATTTTTTTTATGGAACTTAAAAAACCCAAATTTATACCTGCAAAATTTGAGCTTACCTGAAGGACACCCTGAAACTGATGGTGATAGGGTAAGAACAGACTACAAGTGGATATAACAACAGACTACACTCTGAACAAGTTGTGTTCTAATTTGCAAACTGAGAAATAAAATCGAGGAGTCAACCTATTAGCATCTGTGGCAAGATAAACCTTTCAGGAAGATATAAAGTGTATGAAACTTATCATGATTAAATTTCAGAAATTTTCAATTTGATTTTTGATACAAAATCCATGTACATAAGTAATGCAATCACTGACCCAATGACATGGCCTCTCCCACCATTGCCAGCATACAGCATGTAACTCAAACAGAACCTCAAGCATCTTGTAAAGCAGATTTCAGGGAGATGAGATGCAATCCGGGCTAACTACTCTTGGTTACACTTAATCAGAACTGAATAAACAAAGGCAGTATTAGTCACACTTGTGCAAGTTATTCCATTTCACTGCAGCCAGAGGACTTTCATGTGATCCTGTTTAAACCAGCTAAACATCTGGAAATGTGGAAACTATTCTGTAAAGTACAAGAGGACCACACGCCTGATGCGGCTGAGGTCAGCCACGGGGAGGCTGGAAGGAGAGAGAGCTTACTGGAGACGGCTTACTTACAATGAAGCCAAGTTTTTTATAATCCCGAGTGTACATGGACTTGCGCTTCTCCATGCTGCCGCTGCTGTTGTTAGGCTCAGACTCGGCATCAAAAGCAATTCTTCGAAGTTCAAATATGATGTCTCTTTGAGCCTAAAGGAGTTAGGGAGGGGAGAAAAAAGAGGGAGGGAAAGCTGCTTTCATTGTGTGATGTGACACAACTACCTCTTTCCCCAGAGTCCAAATGAATCACTGCATTCAGGAAAAAGAAAAACAGATAAAAGACAACCAATGCTCAAAGTTAGGGCTTTGCTGACTTCTCTTCCTCCTGCCACTCTCCCTGATGGTTAGCCTGGGCCGTATTCCACAACTCTTCTTGCAGCCAACTCATTTGGAGGGCTAATATCAGTTGCCCAGGACTGTCCTACGTGAGACCCCCAATGTGGTGGAAGGGATGTGACTGGAAAAGATAAAGTTGAGAGAACCTGGGAGCACTGCACTGTTAGAGAGGCACACAGGTTCAGGGACAGTACTCAAGTTACAAGGGACCCCTACAGAACGATTTTATGGACTCTAACATGTCACTAAAACAAATGAGCCAAAAGGAAGAAACAACCCCAGTGTCCATCCATGGATGAGTGGATAAAGCACAGGTCCAACAGATGGACAGTGGTGGCATATTATTCAGTCACAGAAAGGGACAAAATTCTTACACAGGTGACAATGTGGATGAACCCAAGATATTTTTTGCCAAATGAAATAAGACACAAAATGACAAATATTTTCTAATTCCATTTCTACGAGCTTCCTAAAGTAGTCAAACTTCTAGAAACAGAAAGTGGCATAGGGTTACCAGGGGCTGAGGGGGAGAGGGCAGTTGGGCAGTTATTGTTTAATGGGCACAGAAATTCAGTTCTGCAAGATGGTGATGAATCGTGGTGATGTTTTCACAGCAATGGGAATGAGCTTCATGCTAGTGAACCGTACACTTAAAAAATGGATAAGATGATAAATGTTAGGTTAAGTATTTTTATCATAACAACAAAAAAATTTCATAAAAAAAGGAGAATTTGGAAACAAGGAGCATTGCTCCATTATTAGGACGCACTGCTCTCCATCACTAGAATTGGTAAGATGACAGTCTCATCTCCCTGGGATGATTACACTTGGCCTTGCCAAAAATGTGCAGCACGGTCACTGGCCTCTCTTAGCCTCCTCCATCATTCTTAATCGCATGGCCTTGTGCCATGAATGAAGTGTTGCAGCAGCCACACACTCCACACATGCAGCCCACATCTGCAACAGATCAGGCCCTCACATGCCAATAATGAGTGTTTTCCTCTCCAAAGCTGCAGCACAGCTTAAGTTGAAAATGTGCTACAGAGGGGCAGGCTTCCCAGCTGTTTCCTCTCACTCTACTCTCACACAGTAAAGTTCCCCCAAAAGCTTCTGGATGGAGACAGAATCTTTCATGGAAACAACCAAAGACTTAGCAGGGAGTTAGAGCAAAGAGCCAACTAACAAAACTGCCAGCCCAAAAAATCGGGTTTATTTAACACAGGACTAACCACTGGCATTGATCATCGGAGAAAGGAAATTACTTCCAATTTGCAGAATCAGTATCACACAGAACTATCCTTGGCCCTGGTCATCTGGGAACTTGATCCCAAAGTTATCACTATCTAAGGTACGGTGGCCAAGGGCCAAGGTCTGAGGCCATGGACAGCAAGCTCTCCTATCTAAAAGAGGAAAAACATGGATGTGTTCAGGGCCTAATGGAAGAATCCATTTATTTTATTCTCTGATCCCAGGTTCACCTAAATTTTGAAGTCATACCACCAAGTTTGAGAGGGTAATAAGTCGATCATATGATCATCTTAAACTCCTGGTTTCAGGGTAGCTCCAGAGAAGACTTTTAATGACACCTCCTTCCCCTCATGTGCTCTCACTGCTGTCTTCTGGGCACCCACCTGGTCCTGGGGGTCCATCTTGGTCATCATCCTGTCTTCCAGGAGGTTGAAGGTGAGCACTTGGAGAACATAGAGCTGGTGCGCCATCTCATTGTTAATGGCTCGCTGCGCTCGGATGACATGCTAGAGAGATGGTTCACAAATGACACTTTTAAATAACAAAGAATAAGTAAAAATAAATAAATAAATAAATAAATAAATAAAGGTTAACCCTTGTCGTTACCCCAAGTAGAACTTGAACAGTGTTTATTTTGGATGCACAAGGGATGGAGAATTACGGAACCACCTCTCACAAGAAAATCAGGGCACACATAATCTCAGAGCTTTCCTTGACATTGTGGGGCCCAGTAAGGTTCCTGATCTTGAGGCCAAAAAGTCTGGAAAAGACCTACTGTGTGCAGAAGCTCCTGGATGAAGGGAGAAAGGTACTTCAAGAAAAGATGTACCTGAGATGAGTGACTGGAGGATACCTCTGAGTATGCTGCAAGGGACCAGCAGCACCCACCTATCACAAGAACCTTATGGTCATCTCACCCCAGGACGGCCTCTCCCAGATTTTCCCACTTCTGATGCGGGGGTAAGTTTGAGAAGCAACACACAACAGCAAAATATTCATCTGATTTGTAGTGAACTCACTGTGGGAACTCCACAAGCCCCACTTCCATTCCTGGTGTAGTCTGCAAATGCTGCTTCATTTTTTTTTTAACAGTTATTAGTTAATAATTAAATGAAAAGTGAAATGACATTTCTTTATAGAAACAAGACTAAAAGCAGGACAAACATAAAAGGGGTGGCAGGAAGTTGGACGCATGGGGCTTTGCTTCCACCGCAGCTCATACAACAGCCAGGTCTAATGTGTATCCTTTTCTGAGAGACCTTGGCTATACTTTGAAAATGCCAAATGACCAGTCACAGTGGCAAAACACTATTCAGATCCATGATTTTGTATGCAGTAGACCCAGCCAGGCCCTGATATCTGCAAGAGAGCTTGGTCTTGGCACCCCCCTGTTGCTACCAGTAGATAGCTGGAAACTCACTTGCAAGTGACCCTTCAGTAAATGCCAGAGGTCCCCAACATGAAAAAAAAATCATCTTCCAGCCAGGACTGGAGGATAATTAGCTACTTTCTCTAGCCGAATGTACTCCTCCTTTCCTAGAGAGTCGCAGTAAAGACTCTTGGTGACACTCTGGGTTCTCAGGGTGCTGCCTGGCTACCTCCTGACCTGGCACGCACCATGTCCCCACATGGGCTGTGAACATGACATTGAAGCGGCCTGCTAAAAATGGAGGAGAGGGAGAAGAATGAGGGAGAGAAGGACAAGGAGGAGGAAGAGAAGAGGGAGGAGGATGTAATTCAAATGGCTGAACCAAAATAATGGGAGGGGAGAAGCTGGAGGATGGAAGGTAGGGGGTGGGGTGTCACACTCCATATCCTTCATTCTCCAAAAGGGAATGGTAACTTGTACAACTTTAGTGCCCCAAATGTATGGGCATCCATTTTACTAAAATCTCCCAGACCTCTGCACTTCAACTTGCTGTCAGAGACTAGAAACCTTAAACTTCCAGCTATGGACATTTCATAAAAGAAGTGACTCTGAAGCCAATTATCTTTGAGACAAGGTGGCTATTGTCATTCCACCCACTCATTTCTCTGAAGATTCCAACCTCAAGTGCCACACCCTGGAGGTATGAAAAACAAGCTAAGCCCTTCTTCATCCATCATTTCCAGCTCTTCATCTCCCACCTGGATCCCTCTCCTTGCGCAAACACCTTCAGTGAACTACACCTTACTATTGACTGCAGCTTCCACATTTTTAGGGCCAAGATAAAGAATGGCCTATTATGAATCTTTCTGTACTTTCTACAAAGCCATAATTAGATGTAGAATCTATTAGGCTGTTTTACGAAGACACTTTTCAGATTTCAGTTTGGGGGTGGGGGGCATTTTGCCATCCCTGAAGAACTGGAACACCTCTTGTTTTATCAGATGGTGAAATTTACATTTCATTCTTGGTAGCCAGGAAGTTTAAAATCAAACTTGATCACCAACTGCAGACCTTACCATCGGCCTTGAGTTCTAGAATATTTAGTTTCTTTACCTGAAAAAAGGTTTTCATTTTTGAGAAAAGGAGGCAGGGAAGAGAAAGAGAGAGAAAAAATGTGTGTGTGTGTGTGTGTGTGTGTGTTGTATCTGTATGTGTGTGTATGTATGTGTTGTGTCTGTGTGTGTGTGCCTGTGTGTGTGTGTGCCTGTGTGTGCCATGTATTTCCTAACTGACTCTGAGGCCTTGCCAATTTCTAGAGATAACAAAGTACTTCTTTCATATGCAAACCAGCTGGAGCTCATGCCACCAGCCCTCTGTCCTCATCACCAAGGAACATGTCCCAGACAACTAGAACAGTCCATAAATTCCAAAACCCACTGAATTTATTGAAACTTCCTAATCCTAAACCTGCTTAGCCACCTTCTCTAGCCTCATGTACTCCTTTCCTAGACAGTCACAGTAAAGGCTCTTGGTCACACTGCCCCTGACTCCTGACCAACCTGGCTTCCTGTGAGGCCCCCTCCTGGTTGTGGTCAGCTCTTCCTTTTGGGAATTATAAGTAGCAAGCTCAATGACCTCTAGACCTGTTGGCTTCATCATAACTGAGCAATAATAAAACATTGTGTGTGTGTGTGTGTGTTGTGAATTCTAAGCTTGCTGAACTGGAATCGTATTATCAGATTTTTTTTTTTTCATTCTAAGCAGAAAACCTGCTTCTCTCAAGTAGCTGAGAAGGCCTCAGGAAACCTTGCCGTTTGGTTTAGTTATAAACACTCACAGTGCGACTTGAAGGGCTACTTTCTCCCTGAGGTACAAGATCAGTTCTGCACTGCAGTTAGTGAACGGTTCCCATGTACTTTCCTTCTTTCCTCCTGTAAGGGGGCCAAGAAAATAATGGCCAAAATTTCAAGGCTTCTCTCAGGGCCTGGTATGTTTCCAGACAGCTTCCTCATTTTAAAAAAAAAAGTACAAGTTCATTTTGGTGTTTTTTTTTTTTTTTTAAAGCCCCTGATGTCCTTGACTGAAAAGCCAAAAGTCTCAGTGTCTGTACTAAACCTGCCACAGGAAGAGGAAGGTCCAGCTCCTCAGGCCCCTTTGCTTCCTAGAGCAGGGTAAGACTCCTCCCGCCAATCACAGGAGACAATTCCTGTGGGAAAGCCTTACTTACTCCAGTTCCAAACACACACATTCCCCTCCTTTATAGACCCTGCTGCTTCACCACTGTTCCTGGTCACAGAGCAATCACAACTGAGACCAAAAGAGAAGTGACAGTGCACCAGGCCGCTCCTCCCAGCAACACAGTCCCAGCCCCTGAGGTACTCACTGTTAGAATGATGGAGCGCAGCTGCTTCTGAGCCAAAATATTCGCCATCTCCTGTAGAAGAAAAGCACACCCACACGAAGGCTTAGGTTAGAGAGACACATTTCAGCAGGGCCAACAATGACTTTATCCTGGGGTGTGCTTCATAACTGTATATCAGCAGTATTTCTTAGGAACTCCCATTCAAATTATTATTTTTTTTTTTTGCATATTCCATTTAGATTATAAAAGCCAGATGCAAAAACAAGGAAGGAAAATCTGGCACCTGTACACTATTTTTTTTGCCTTTAGAAAATTCTTCTTTGCAGAAAAAGGTGAGTGCTGAATAAAAATCAAACATTCCAAATGAAAGCAACGGGGTTCTCCATTAGAAAGACTCATCATCTTTTATTAGACTGTGTGCTGAAAGCTTCTGCGAGGCAATGCATGCTTACTACAATATTGTCCGATATGAAAGAACCATCGCTTTAAAGAGCGAGGTCTTCTAAAAGCCAGTTCACTTTTATCTGTGCAAGACCAAAGGGGGAGTAGCACATACCCCAGACCGGAAAGCAGGCTCAGTGGGGTTTTAGCAGATGTCCCATATCTGGGCAGATGCCGAGCTCTGGTGTTCATACTCGGCTTCCACTCTGCTAGGGTTCATTCCTGCAGGTTGTGCTTTGTGCTCTGGCATTTCCTGACTGGCACAGAGAACTTAGGAGTAGTTTCACGGACAATCTTTATCAATACTGACAAGTAGATACTAACTGGAAAATTAAAAAGTAGAGCATGGCCTTGGCCTTGGTGAACTTTCAAAAAAGCTCAAAATACTGCTCATATTCAGGAAGACACTGAGATGCTGGTTTTTGGTGGGGAGTATTTTTGGCGTTGCTACTCTTACTAAGCAGAGAAGAAAAAACTAAGCTACGATTCAAACAAAATAACCATAAATTCTACCAAGGTTGAAATAAATGTGCAGAAAGCTAGGAGAACCAAGAGCATGTGGGGGAAGGAGCTACGAGGGGACACAGGCAAGGTGGACAGGAGCAGAATGGCAGAGCGGGGCCTACTTATTCAGGCTGACGGAGGGAACGTGGGTGACTTACAGTCAGAGGACAATCAAGGATGTCAACATTGCTCTCTACATCAACCTAACGGCGTCATCGCCACCACAGAAAGGAAAGCAAGCAGGAGAGAAGAAGGGATGGAAATTCAGAGCACTCTGTTAGAGGTTGGCAGCTTCAACGCAAGGCCCCTTCTGACCCACCACACTGAGAAGCCGGTAAATACTGTCAGACGATTCCCAAGGGTGGATGGCATGGGAGACCAAACCCAGGACAAGGTCCTCTCCCCCACTCTTGGAAACTCAAAAACTAGAGCAAGGACACTATTCAGAAACAAGCTCAAGGACAACCCAAAATGGAACCTGTCCTCCACACTGCAGAGAAAGTAGCTCTCTCCTCCCTATCTAAACAGAAAGGCCTGGAGGTTTGTCTTGTTTTGCTTGGTTTTGTTGTCTTGGACCAGATGACTAACAAAAGGCCCAAAGAATCCTACATCTGTCTTAATTTCCGTCTATGAATTTTATAAATATCCTTTATAAAAGTGAAAGTACTGCCCAATAGTCACATGAATCAAAAAAGAAAAAAATACTCCTTCTCGATGCCTTTTTTGGCCTGTTTATAAAATATTAAAGTTAGAAGTGACAACATATTTCTGATATCTACTAGAGCATTCATTAATTATCTGTTTACAATATTTATCTTCTGCATAACACTATGGGCTTCTCATGGGAACAGAGAATATATTATGCTTTGTATTCCCAGCTCAAGGCGAGATGTCTAGCACCGAGCAGACAATAAATGTTTGCTAAAAGAACAAATGAATATTTTATGCTCCCCTCCTGTGGAACAGAAGCTTCATCAGAGAGAAAAATTATGTATGCTTGTCCACATCATGGATATTTTTGTCTAATATTGGGGAATTGTGTAAACATGAGAATCCATGGGGAATGTTTTAGAGCACTAAAAAGATCTAAAATCATAGATAGACACAAATATGGATCTAGATATACCAACATAGAAAGACATCCGCAAAATATTTTTTTAGTTCTAAAGGCAGATATTTTTCCTTAAATGAAATAATGCACAGAGTATGCTTGCCTTTAATGAAAAAAAAAAAGGATACATGTAGAAGAATATTTGCATAGAGCAAAGCAGGAAGCAGAGCCATGAGCCATGAGAGTCACAAGGTTCGTGAGGAACTGCAGTGGTTCTTTTTCTGGGTATGCAATTATGGGAGTCTTTCAAACTTTTTTCAAGTCTGTCTTTTCTGAGTTTCCTATCAAGTCCTTTAAAAGTCTTTGTTTCAAATAATGCTTATCAAAATCACCAATGTCTATAAAAAATTTTGGAAGACACCTCATCAACACATTTGCCATTAAAATAGTAATTTGAGCAATAGCAAATCATTGTAAGGAATTCACTCACTTAATAGCAACCCCTTTTCCTAAAAATCCATTGTGCATGTTCCCATCATTTGTGCAGAGAAAGGAGAATGTCTTTAGTCCAGGAAGCATGGGAAAGCAGGACTTCCACCCCAAGGACAGCCAACCAGAGCAGATAGGAGGGAGAGGAGCTTTAAATTCACTTTATACAATTTAAAAACTAAAGGAAACCCAGATAATAAAGTCCAATGAATGTGATGGAACCCAAGTCAGCAAAAGAAGCTAAAATAAATAAAAGTATTAGACTGAAGTAGGTTTTAAACACACAAGGAAACAATGAGTTCTGTAAGTGCAATACACAAGTTTTTAGACTACATTTTAATCTAATTGGAGCAAGAAAATGGTCCTGGTATCTTCTATTCTTCTGGTAAGTGTTTGTGTGACAAATACAAGGAAATTCTGTGGGTGGCACCCGCTTGATTGGCATTTGATGGAACTCTCTGCAGGTAAAGGCAAGGAGTCTGGGCTTCTAAGTCTGGCTCTTACCAGCTCAGTGACTTGGTCATTTTTTTTTTTTTTTTACTCCTTTTGCATCTCAATTTCCTCATTTGTAAAATAAAAATAATACAGCTTTCTCTTAATATGTGAATGAAATTAAATTAAATGATAAAATATAACTGAACATCATGCCTGGCACATGGCAGACTATTGATAATACTGTCATTAATGGCAGTGTTTGGCAGATTTTCCTATTTGACAAAAAAAAAATTTTTTTTTTTGAGAACTTTTAGTTTTTCAGAACATATGCCAATAAAAATGTCATGTCAAAATTAGCCCGGTTAAAACTTTATTTTACTGGCTTAAGTCTCAGCTGTTAATATAATCTTCTGTTTTATAGGCTTCCAGTGACCTTCAGGAAAAAAAAAAATAGCAAACTGTTCTTCATTAAGAACTTGCGATCATTTTTAGAGCACTCACAGCTCAGAAATGTTTTAAATTCAAAAATCATAATGCTTCCTTTGTTTTGATGAACAACAGTCTTAAATTCAATGGTTTATAAAGTCAACATCAATTTTCCATGGGCAAGTAAATAACCTGTGGCTACTTTTACTTCAAGGATTGAATTTGTCATATAATACTTTGTAAATTTTTGGTGGATTATATGTACGCTTTCTTAGCTGGATTGTTTTCGTAAATGGTTTAAAGTTATTAGATTACTCTATGTGGTGGTTTATTACATGGTCAGACTGTCTTATCTATCCATACTGCATAATTAAAAAAAAAAAAAAAAACTTGTTTCACAGAATCCAAAACTAAAGTTGTTTTGTTATTCCATTATATTTCCATTGGTATCAACATTCCAAAGTCAGTTGCAGATTGATACTGGGTTCCCTATGTGCCCATGGCCATGATAATTCAATTCAGTAAACTAACAGTAGTGTTTAGTGTAGAGGGAGATACAAAAGTAAGCCAGGTATATACGCCTTACTCAGGCCTAGATCCAATAAAACCATAGCCCTTGGGCAGGCATGAGCTTTCATTTCCTCTGATCTAACCTCTTCTTCCACATTTGAGAAAGGAAAGCCCTAAGAGTTCAGACCAGAATATAGTCCTCCCCACCCTACATTCTATCCTGATCTACATGTGGTTTGGCCAAATGTCCTCTATTGGGTCAGTAGAAGGATTATATTCCCTCAATGACCAGTTGAGAGCTGCCAGACAATTTTCTGGGCTGCCTGGGAGCTACCATGAGCTCAGTATTTAAGTACAAATATCAAAGGAGTAGCCCACCCACGATCCCACCTCAGACCTGCGAAGTCACGCTTACAAGCCCAGCATAGGCTCCCAGAGGCCAGACACCTCTTCCTGGTTCTATCCAATTCAAATCAAACTCACAGGAAACTATAAAGCAACACCACTCACTATGCAAAAGTAGCACCTCTCCCCATGCAAATGTAGACCCTGAGGAATGAACAAATAATTCTAAATGGAAAACAAACCAGAACCCCTGGCTTTAGCCCCCGAGGTTTAAAGTCTGTAAAAAAAATAATAATAATAATAGTAAAATAAAAAGATTCTTGACACAGCATTTTAGTAGTATGCTGGTTAACTTTCTAATTTCTTCTCAAATAGTTCTTGGACAACCATCATGAAGGGCCCCCTCTGGTTTTCTAATGGTTAAAAGATCTCATATTTCCATGAAGGTTTTAAAGGAAGTGAATTGTGACCAGGGAAATATATTCTATGCTTTGTTGATAGAAAAAATACGCAAGGACTTTGAGGTATGAGTTAAATTCTAAGACACAGCAAAATCAAAATTCTACTTCTTTCACATCTCCCTCTGTAATGGCCCTTTCCCTAATGGAAGAGAAGCAAAGAACTACAGAGATAGCAAGGGATAGGCTTCATATGGGTACACTTAAGGGGCTCCCTTCTCTTTTTGCACAGAGGAGGGGAAAAGACTGCTCAGTCCTCCCAGTCACAGCCACATGGACAGAAGACATAGCACCAAACCCAGCCCCTCTGACATATCTCATCCAAGGGCTGTAATCTGCATCTTTTCCCTCCTTTCTTCTCACCTTTCCATCTCCCCCAACCCAGGGAAAGGCAAGACAGCTTATCCAAAATATAGGAACAGCACCTCCTTCACCCCAGTCAGCATCTATCAAACTCGCAGGGGTTCCATTGCTTCCAACCCCAACCACAGTGATGATGTAGTATTCTATGATTTGGGCTTCTACACTGAATCAGACTTCATGAAATGAGTCCCCTGTCCCAACTCCCCATGTTCTTCATCAGTCAAAGGGCTTGCCCATCCCCACCACTAGGCCCAACTGCAGGACAGAGCTGCTCTGGACAATCACCTGCAGAAAGAGCAGCAGAGCAGCCCAAAGAGTCTAGATGGGAAGGAGAGGATGTTCAGTGCATGAAACGTCCCCAGCCCTGGATACAGCAGTCATAAGACTAAGGTGCTGCAGCTTACCTGCCTTCTTTCATCAGGGGCCTTCAGGAAAAGTGCATTGATCACAGCGATGGTATAGGTTTGGATTTCCTGGTCTGTTCTATAAAGATACCGAACAACACAGCAAAGTCAGAAGAGGTGATCCCTGAGGCAGATGATAGTGAGGTTCATCATCACATACATGCACCCTCTTCCCAGGAGTTAGAAAGGCAGGGAGGGACTAGGAAACTCATTCAGCACTGAGAGTGTATTTCAACCACCACGAGCCTGAAAATAAGGTAGGTACAAAATTGCCATTATTAGGCACCTGGTGGAGATCATGCAGAAACACAGGAAGCCAGCTGGCTCTCTCCAATCTCTCTTCTATTAGGATTAAAGACGTGGGCCCAGGAGTTGGGGATGTACCGCAGCGTTAGAGCACTTTCCTAGCACATGTGAGGTCCCAGATTCAATTTCCACCACCATGAAAGAAAGGGGGGGGGGAGCATGGATCCAGGGGATATAGTCATGGTCACAATAGTCATTTTATGTGTGTGTGTGTGTGTGTGTGTGTGTGTGTGTGTGTGTGTAATTTTCTGTGTTATGCATGATATAGATCAGAGAGCAGCTATGGATACCTCCACATTCCTGTTCTTATTTTTAAAGGAATCTACTTTGTCTCCATGGCTATGATAACACATATTCCAAAAATCTATTTCCAAATGGAAACTTTTAATAGCAAGAAGAGTAGGTATTGATGTTTATAAATTTGTTTTTCACTGGAAAGAAATCAGGAATTCTAAATGAAGCACAAAATGAAAGTAAAGTGCATGGTGAACAGCAAACAAGAAGGACATAAGGCAGAAACAAAGGTGGCCTAGAAGCTCCATTTAGGTTTCATCTGTCAGGCTGGTCAGGGAGAGACAGGGCTTAGAACACAGCCTGTGGCAGGATGGGATTCAAAGCCCAGTTCTCCACAGGCTGCCTATGTGGTCTTGGACAAGCTAGTGAGTATCCCCAAGGCATAGTTTCCTCATCTGTAAGAACAATATATTTCACAGTGTTGCTGGGAGGAAGATAAAATGAGATAATGTCTATAAAACCCTCATCACAGTGCTTAGCAAATAATAAACTCTCTTCTTTGGTAAAGTGCATTGTGAATGAGCACATGTGCCCCTGAGAGTCAGAAAGAAGCTGTGACTATAAAGTTAATACATTTTACTTTCAGGGACATGTGAAATGGATCTTATTTCTAGAGAGGTTACATAAAAAAAAAATCTCCATTCTGGAGAACAAGGTACTATTCACTGAAGCCACAATGTACAGCTTCTTTGACTTAAATTTTAAATTCTGGTCATCCTCCTGTCTCCAAATGAAGGTGGAGGGGGGGAGGATGTGTTTTGGGAGTTTACATTATAAACACAACAGTTAACATTTTCAGTGTATTGAGAGAACTACTGAATACTCTCTCACACTTCTATCCTGCATCACCAACCCAAATGAGCCAACCAGATTTCCTCTTAAGAATTTGCACATGTGACCTGAAAGACCAGAGGTACTGCCACCAGAAACAGGTCATGCTGGTGCCAGCCAATATGCTACAGGAAACGTCTGCTGCTAAGGTCTCTTCAGAGGCCATAGCTTCTTTCACAAAAGCATTGTTACTTAAGTCATATCTGGATTCTAGTGAGATACTACTGTGTCCCTCCAATAAGCTCCCTCTCCTGTATAAGCTAACACAATTATTTGTTGCAACTTCAACCCCAAATACTTTACCAAGTAGCATTGTATAATGGAGTCCTTGTTAACATGGTATCATAAGAGGCAAACTTATTAGTCACCTCAGGGTGGACAGAAAGGAAAAGACTTCAGGTTGCCAGGTCAGCTATTGAATAGCCACATTATATCTCAAACGTCTAGGGAAAAGCACCTTTCTTATATTATAAAACACAAAAGAAGAATGTCACTGTTATCACCTTGAATATAACTCAGGAAGAAGCTTGCCACTAAAAATTCCTGGTTGAAAATGCCTAACATAAAATTTCCAATTAATTATGAAAATTAATTGGAAATAATTCATGATGTAATTCATGATATTACAGAAGATATAATCTTACATAGTTAGGGAAAGACTATTAAGAAGAAAACAAAGGGTCTTACTTTGTCTTATTAAAAGGATAACTATTAATATCCACTAAAATTCATCAAAACTGAGAGTCTCCTAAGGTCCAGACAGTGTCTAGACATGAAACTCATCAGGGATGGAGAGTGGGTAGGAGGTAGTAATTGTGCTGCTTCAATGTGATGGTGGATGATTGTGGTACATATTTTGGTTATGGGACAACTCAATATTCTTTTTTTTTTCTTGTACAATTAATTGGTCCAATATATAAAGTTTCCCATGGCATGATTTCAGCTGCCTCCCTGAAGGGCACCCCTACTCCCAGGGCGCCTCCGCATGCTTACCCTTGAAGATGAGGAATGAGTTGGCCAATAGTGATCTCCTGTGCCACCTTCTGGTAGAGGTCATGGCTATTGAGCACCATTGACTCCAAGATGGCCAAGGACCGTTGCAGGATTGAGATGTCTATGGCTGACTTGTTCACAAAGCTTGCTATCTGAAAATCCAAGTGGGACAACATTGATTGCTCATGGTAAGCAGCGCAGGGAAGTAGACAAGGGAACAGATGAAGCAAATCAGAAACTCGATTAAGGAAACCACACATATAAGAAAACAGCAAGAAATCCATTGAGCCAACAATGACTGCTCACAACATCATTCAACAAAAATTGAACCTCTCTTTAAGAGATATCTTTAAAGAACTATTCTGTCTGGTCTTCTCAACCTTATTCTCTGAGCTTCAGGTTTCACAGGCAAGCAATTATAGCACATGTCTTATAAGGATCCCTGTGTTTCTCTGATGCAGTAATTTCAACAAATGCTAATAGCTACTCCTCCCCGATTCCCAGGCTAGTCCTTCACTCACACGATCCATGACTTTTACATTTTTATTATGTTCCTGTTATGTTCTTAAGGGACTCACACAAATCACACTTGTCAACACGATTGAAATGGCAAATTTTCAGTGCCTGGCCACTCTCCTGGCTATTCCTAAATAAAAAAAAAATAAATAAAAATGAAAAAAAAACTCCCGCCCCTATTCTTTCAATTTCTTATGGTTATAATAAATTCTTCTCAATTCTCCCAAATATAGCAATCAGGAAATCATTTAAATTAGCAGTGCTAAAAGTTAAAATACTAGTTTAAGCTCTAAAATATATTCCCTAAAGAATTAATCACTAAAGCCTCAATATAATAAATCACAATATAAGAGGGAAATAAAATAGGGGTTAGAATAATGGATCACAGCAATCCAAACAAATGGGCACCATAAAGGCTTTATTTTAGAGACCTCATTAAAAGTTATTGCAGCCTGTTGACAACTCATACTAAAAGGCCATTATAATATCAGCATAATGACTGCTTTCTTAAAAGCTGAATAACGTGGTCCCATGACCAGTAAGAACTCACTGCTTCCCTCTGTCAACACCAATTTCTCTCTTTCTGTTGTCCCACCCATCCTGGTCCTCATCCCCTCTCTATCCCTGTAACTCCGTAAAATGTGAATGTTCCCATGACAATTCCCAGTTGTCCTCCCAACTGTCTACAGTCCACAGACTCCCATGGAAAGTAATGGTGGGAGGGGAAGATAAGGACCCCCGCCTGCTCCGGATACATCTAGACCTTTGGGGTGGGAAATAGTGAAGGGAAGAAGTACAGGGATATTAGAGTTTTACATTCCAAAAAGCTATTATTTTATAAAAACCAACTACAGGAAGAGCATGAGAACTTAAGACCTTCAACAAACTGTTTTAGTTCCTCTCATGCCTAATTAAACTCCCCAACGTGTTTACTGTCCCTGGTAAGCATCTGCACTAAACCTCACATCTGCTCCAATCTAACAAACCCACCACATGAAGGCCACCTTTGGCCATTGTTCTCTGACAAAAAAAAAAAAAATCCAATTGCTCTCACCCTGCATTCACAGTTTTATACTTAACTTAGGCCCCTTCTAAGTAGAGTATGAACTCCTTGACTTCTCCACCTCCAATCCCCTCACTTTTTAATGTCCCAGTATGATTGGAAAGCAAAGAACTCATAAAGACATTTGCTGGCAATAGTTCTTATTTTCTCTATTCTAATTCTCCCCTCATTGCAGGCTCCCATCTTGTCTTCACTTGTTAAATCTGGATGTTCCCTAACCCTCCCTGAAGCCTTCCACCTGAGCACCTGTTTTGGAAGTTCCTCCACCCCAGCCTTCATCCCCTCTTTTCATACATTTGGTATTTACTCATGGGTTGATTGATTCACTCAAGTAATAAGCATCGTGTGTGCCATGCCTACACCAGGCCCTCACAGTCCTACAGATCTGGAAATGCAAGGATGACCAAGAAACACACAGTTTGTAATTTCAGAGTCTTGCAATCTAGCAGAGATAGATAAAATATCATTTTCTATAAAATATATTAAATGTTCATTCTTGTCATAGAAAAGGTGATCTCCATTTGTATATTTCGACAAAGCCTCAAAATTAAGCGGTGTAACAAAAATTTCATATTCTTCTTTCTCTTTCTTTCCCTGTTATTACCCTTTCTCATGTGTCCATAATCATTAGTGATTAACATTCCCAGTTCCCTACCTTTCACCTCTGTGAATACACTTTAAATACATGCTAAATATACCTTCAGCATATTTATATACCACTGTCCCATGGTATATGCGGTTACTTCATGGGGATTAAAGTTCTATCTTCTTCAGTTCCCTCCATGTTCAAGTTTTCTAATGAATGGAAATTTACCCTCTACTTCCACAAATATTTTTGGACAATATTTCCTTTCTCAAAATGTTCAATTGCTGCTGGGCATGGTGGCATAGGCCTATAATCTCACCAGCTCAGGAGGCTGAGGCAGGAGGATTGAGTTCAAAGCCAGCCTCAGCAAAAGCAAGGCATCAAGCAACTCAGTGAGACTCTGTCTCTAAATAAAATACAAAATAGGGCTGGGGGTGTGGCTCAGTGGTCGAGTACCCTGAGTTCAATAGATGGTACAAAAATAAAAAGTTCAATTGCTTTTCACAAGTTTCCTGACATAAAATACAACTTTTTATAATGGTTCTTAAATTCTATACAAACCATTAACTCTCCCCTGTTCCCCAATGGGCTAGTTCAATGATGACAAAATCATGTGTTATCTTTGCTTTAATTCAGGGATATTTATAACCCACATACATATTTCCCTTCCATTGGCCATTTCTACTTATATCTTTCCTATGAAACCAATCTTTTACTTTCATAAAAACATTCTTTAAGAATTATTTCCTATAAGTTCATCTCTTCCTTAACATAGTACCAACGCTAAAGCAAGGAACCTGATGAGCATTTTGTATAACGCAGTGAGCTGTGTGTCTGCCTTATATGGACAGGGTGCGTTAAGTCTTATGTGCAATTCTGGAGTAGATACCAGTCACTTTTGAAGAGAACTTCTTTCTCTTGTCTGTGTCAGTGGTTTTAAACAGACATTTTGAAGGCCCTGTACTTTCACTGAGTGTGTATTGACAACAAGGTCAGGGCTGATCCAAAAGAATGTAATGATTATCTTCCTCAAGGGAACTTGAGACCTACTCACTAGTGAATGTTCAAATCAGGAAATGTACAAACATTATTATCTGTGCCAAGTTTGAAAAGTATAGATCTTAGTATAACTACAGACAGTTACAAACTGTTCAGTTAAATTTCGTTTTCCTTTACCTCTCAAAATATTCATAAAGGTTTCCTTTGTCTTCCAATCACTCCCTGCTCCAAGACTGCACTTTGGCAGACATAGCTCAGCTTCTTCTCTATGGTGCTGGAGATGGAACCCAGGCAGTGCACATGCTAGGCAAGTGTTCTGAGACTGAGTTAAACCTTCAACTTGACAGCCTCTATCATAAAGAACAGGTCAGAGGAGTTAGTGGTAACTATATATCTGACCTCATCATGCTGTTCATTCATTTAAAAATGCTACCTAAAAAATCAGAGGACTATTTAGGTAACTTTTAAGAAGCTAAGCGGCATCACAGTGCATGAACCAATAGCATAATAAATACTTCTTAGGGTCACTTAGAACTTGATCTCAAAATTCTTGTATGTTATCAAAACCAAAAAGAACCAAGGAGAGCATGAAGGGCCACTCTCAACTTTTAAATTGGTACTATGTTAAGGGCAGAGGCTTATAAATCTCTCAAAATTTTAGGAGGCAAAAATGACTGGATTTCTTTTTTTAAAAATGACTGCATGTTTGTCTAGGCACTGAAAATATGTGCAGGGTGAGCCAGGTCTCCTCAGAGCTCAGGCCTCCAGAGCACGTTTATGAAACTTTCCTTTCTAGAGAAGGCACTGATGTTGTATTTGGCTAGGAGGAAACCAACTCATAACCCAGAAAGTTCTTTTTTTTTTTCTTTCCTCTCCATGTCTTCCTACCCTTTCCCTAAGTAGCCAAGTCTTTAAAAAGCAACCACATTATATATTGGCATCAAGGGATTCCAAGTCTCAGAGTGTTTATGAAATGATGTTATTTATTGCAGCCACAATTTGTAAATCAGAACCCAGATCCATATGTAATGTAACAGAGAAAGAGACAGGGGCTGGCAGGGAAAAAATATTTCTCCAAAGTGGTATGAATTTGGCATTAATAGGAAGCCAACTTTGGACCATGGAAATAGGCATCTTTTGTCAGTGCATTTCCTAGTTGATTTTTGTGGAGATAAAGCTCCATTTAAAAGAAAGTTGCCTGCCTACAAATCCGGGGTTGTCAGAGTGCTGAATTTGATCCAGCTGATGAATAAAAAAAGTTAACCTTATAAAAAATTAAGTAATTTTCTGATGACAATTTTTCAAATGCATGTAAGAAATCTAAGTAGTAATGTAGGGGAAATATAATAACCGAGAATGAGACAGGGAACATATTAAAATATGTTCCCTTTTAAAAAAAATATTCAATTTTTTTTTAATTTAAATAGCCAAGGCTGTTGCCTTTGCTTCTTTGGATTTAAAAGAATTTTAAATCCCATTTCAATGAATGAAACCATTTTTTTAGGTACTCAGAAAACTAAATCATTGTCTTTGTTGATGACTACTAATCACATCATTTAAAGACACACAGCTTTGTCATTCTTTTTTTACTCATGACTGAAACTTTATTTTTAAAATATATGGACTGGGGCAGGGGCTCAAGGGTAGAGCACTTGCCTGGCATGTATGAGGCACTGGGTTCGATTCTCAGCACTGCATATAAATAAATAAGGGTCTATCAACAACTAAAAAAAATATTTTAAAAAATATATTAAATATAGCACCACTATATTGTCTCTCTTTTTCAAGGTCTATTGTTTTAAATGCTTCTAATGTTTCTAAGAAAATGCCATTTATTCATTTTATAGAAATGCATGAAGGTCTCCCTCAGCACCAGGTCATGAGGATAAAGTTATGAAAAAAGACAAGTTTCTCCCTCCTGGGCTCAGAGTCTGTTGTGAAAGACAGTGAGATGAACAAGAAAATCACAAAAATGGGAGAAGACAGTGCTGGCACCAAGTTACACACCTGAGATGTGAGGGGCACAGAGAGCAGTGGAAGTCACAGAGAAAACCATACTAATTAAACAAGGCTCCTGGCATGACTTTTTGCAGTATTGGAGAAACAGCCCTGTCCTATGTGACCAAGGACGCCCCCTCTCACTATGACTTCACTCAACCCTCCAGTCACAGGATCCTGGCATCTAACCAGGCACAGTAAGACTCAGCTGCTATGTTCTGGAAAGGGACTACTGTGGGGAATCCAAGGAGCTCAAGTCAGTGACTACAACCTAATTCCAAGGCGTTCACATTCAGGATATGATAGTTACATTTTAGTAATTAGAGATGAGCAAAGCCACTTGGATATAGAAAAGAAAAGCCTGCTGCAAATTCAGAACAGTGTTAAAATTTTTGTTAGCATGAAAGTCTACAAAACCCAGTACCTTCAGAGTCAGGCTTGCTTCTTTAGAACTTATCTTAGAAAAACAGAATAGAACAATTTGTTTTCTGCTCTCATAATCGCAGGCCTCCGTTCCCTGCCACCAATTAAAGAATGTGCTTATAACACATTAGAATTCCTCTGGCTTTCTCATTTGTACTAGTTCCTTTGCTTTTTAGGAATTCATACCACTGACAAATAAAGACAGTCTTCCTTTTTTATATATGTTTCCTTTTGGTTCCCTTAACTTTTCTCCTTTGGCTTCATGGATTTACTTACATAAGGAAAGAAGGTCCAGAGTTACGTCAAGAAGGCTCTGAGTTTCCAATTATCTTTTGTCTTAAATAAATCTGCAACCCCATACAGACTTTCCGTTCTCGACACCCTCATTGAATCGAGGGGATTCCTCTGGCCTTCAATTCCAAGTGGCATCTTCCCAAAAATTTTAGTTACTTTAAATAGAAAATCAGTAACTTTCCCCAAGGAACACCACCTCAACCATGTAATCAAAAGACATATTGATGTCACATAACCCTGGAACAATGCACAGAGAAAAGGCACACCAATACTAATGTAAGACTGTTGTTCAAAATGCATAACCTTCCTTAGGTTGACCATAGAAGAATATTAGACAATCCAAACTGAGAGAGACATTCTACAAAGTAACTGACCAGTGCTGTTTACAAGTGTCAAAGTCATGAATGACAAGGAAAAACCGAGGAACTGACAGACTGGAGATAAAACAGCTAAATTCTATGTGGGATCCAGGATCAAATCCTTAAACAAAGAAGAAAAACTGGTGAAATGAAATAACAACTTTACTATCATGTAAAATGTCAGAATCGGGGAAAACTGGATGAAGAGAATATAGGGTTCTCTTAGTATTCCACACATTCTATATTATTTTTACAACTTTTCTTTCAGACTGCTATTATTTCAGAATAAATGGCTTAAACTTGAAATGATCTTTATTAAACTTCACTGTGATTTTCTAGTCTTTGCACAGATTCACTGAAATTATTTTAGATAACTCTTCCCAAGATTCTGTACTTTTAAATTTTTGAATTCTTAACATTGCTTTATAACTAACACAACAGTAGACAGAAAAAAAATGTCAATTAACTTATTTCACAAATACTAAGAGAGGAAAACCTGATAACAAATACTAACCATTCAAGTTTAATAATACATTTTAAAGAGTTACACAGTCAGCTTTGTTTGGTTTGGTTTTGGTTTTGGTTTTTGGTACTAGAGATTGAGCCCACGGGAGCTTAACCACTGAGCCACATCCCTGTCCTTAACATATACATATATATATTTTAATTTTGAGACAAGGTCTCACTAAATTACTGAGGCTTAGCTTTGAACTTGCAATCCTCCTGCCTCAGCCTCTCCAGCTGCTGGGAATTACAAGCGTGCATCACCATGACTGGCAGGACTACTTATTTTTTCTCAGAAAAATAGAAACAGAATTGGAAATGTGCAGGCATGTCTTTATCATGTGTCAATTGCTGGGAACAGTAAGGGCTCTTCTGCCCTCTCTCCCCAAGCCAGGTCTACCTTGGCCCATCCCTTTATCAGATTCTTTTCAAAAAAGGAAACAGTCAAACTGGTCGATTCCTGAGACATTTATTCCCTCGGGATACAATTAGCAGCACCCTTTATCTAAGACTCCTGAGCCTGTGTGCCAGGCCTGTTTTCTTCTATCCCTGGTCCAAACTTAGGAATGTAGGAAATCATCAGTGGCCTTTGTTTCTTTCCCTGTCCCTGGGGATGGATCACTGAAGGATAGTAGGAACCTCATTTAGGTTTTGAAAACTTGGAGTCCTGCTTGGGGGCAGTGGTAGACACATGTATGGTCTTTAACAAGTGGCACGTTGACTTCCCTTAACTCTGGGTTCCCATATGCAGTCTCTTATAATGTCTGCAGAGACAAAAGGTCATTTTCACAAAAAATTTGGGTGCTCTCATCCCCACATACCTAATGCTATAAAACACCACGCTCACCTGTTAACATAATGAACCAAAAGAAACAATTATAGAATATTTTCAGAGAAAAAAAAAATCTGTGAAAGAGGAAGCAACCTAAGCCCAGGGAAGCACAGTCCACGTTACCTTCTTAATAAATGCCACCGAAAATGTATCCCACGACACAATGCCATGGTCCATCAGCTCCACAAAGGCCGTCAGGGTGAAGGACAGCATGTCTCCAAAGCTGTAAAACAGAGTCATGGGCCCAGAACTGAGCACTGGGAAAGATACAGAAAGCCTCGGGAAAGCAGAATTTTCAAAGACCCCCGGCATAAGCCGCTGGACACAGACAACTTCCTCACACACCAGTGTTGGAAAGGGGCATTCACTCAAAGTCAGCCGGGGGCTTCACAGTTGGACAGGCCTGGCCTCATGCTGACCTCACTCTGGAGAGCTGCATCACACTGGGAAATTCACTTAACCTCTCTGAGCCTCTGTTTTCTTAGCTGAAAAGCTGGGTAGTGAGTAATAGCTTTTTAACCACAAGGCTGCTTGTAGGGCACTTAATAAAGTGCACATCATATAAACATTCAGTAAATGCCAACGTGAAGAAAAACTTCTCAGCACATAAAAGATCTGTTAAGAGAGGGCAATGTGCCGCTTTTATTATCCACAGCTATCAAGGGGGAAGATTCATAATAACAGTGAAGAGTATCAGCCTTTGGAAAGGATCCAAGAGCCTGCACTTACCTCTATGTGTGTACTCAGATACAGTCTGCGTCTAAGTAAAAATGGCTTACTTAGATGTTACACTGGCCAGCACTCCATCTTTAGCCAGAGGGTTTTATGTAGTAGCTATGGAGACAACAACCCCAGTTTAGGGCTTTGCTGACCCTAAACTTACTGTGATTCAGAAGCTGTAGATAGAGTCTAATGTGTGATTTAGAAATCAGAGAAAGATGAGGAGGTGCTATGGCTTGAACTAATGTCTCCCAAAAGTCCACATGTTAAAGGCTTGATCTCCTGCTTGGCATTTTTGGAAGGTGGTAGAAATTTTAAGGTCTTCGGGTTCTGGGGATATGCCCTTGAAGAGCACTGCTGGGCCCCTAGTCTCTTTATTTTTTACTTTCTGGCCATGAGATGAAAGTTTTGGCTCCATCAGAAGCTTCTGCCATGACGTACTGCCTCTCCCAAAGCCAAAGGGCCAATCAGTCATGGACTGAAATCTCTAAAACCATGAACCAAAATCGACCTTCTTTGTTTATAAGTTGCTCATCTCAGGTATTTGTTACAGTAAATGGAAACTAACACAGACAGGCTCAGGTAAAAGCACTTTCTTTCTTTCTTTTTTTTTTTTTTGTTCTGGAGATTGAACCCAGAGGTGCTTTTACCACTGAGCTACCTCCCCAGCCCTTTTAATTTTGTATTTTGAGACGAGGTCTCACTAAATTGCTTAGGGGCTTGCTAAGTTGCTGAGGTTGGTTTTGAACTTGTGATCCTCCTGCCTCAGCCTCTATGGCCACTGGGATTATAGTTATGGACCACCATGCCTGGTTAAAAGCACCATCTTTCTATGATAGTTCCATCTGGAACACTTGCCAGACAATATTCTGGTTTCTAGTGCTTTCCAAAGATATTTTGACAGACCTTTATATACTCAGAATCCTTTACAGATAATCACCTTTACCATGAATGATCAAGATCACAAATATTAATTCAAAATTCTCAAAATTAATTCTCTCTCTCTCTCCCCCTGAGGACATAAAATTATGCCAATCAGGATTATTGCACTATATTATATGATTGATTTTTTAAAAATAAAGGTTAGTCATGTATTTAATCTATAGGCCATTATTTCTACCTTACGAAGTCTCCCAACAAATTTAGATAGAATCTTCCCACTTATTTTCAATTAATGAAACAGAAAACCAGGTTCACATTTCTTTTAAAACAGCTTCTCAATTTCCCTTCCTGTTATTGTTCTACTTAGTCCAGCCTCAAAAACAACCTTTTAAATTCTGCCCCACCTTAGAAGTTGTGATGCTAAAAGAAGCCTATAGAAAGGGAAGTCTCCCTTTAAGGAAGAACTATCATGCTTGGCCGCTGAGACCAGAGGGGAAGAGACTCACTAGACAGAAATGGCTGAGGGAGTGGTGTCTGGCTTAGGGTAGCAGAGGTTCCCCTCCAGCTCTAAGTGGGCAAGTTATCCACCATCCCAGACTTCCTTTCCTCATTGATTAAAAACACGGATGAGGATGATGGTAGCAATGGTGGTATCCCACTCGGAGACCGCTGGAGAAAGGAAATGAGCTAATATACTAAAATCCCTTTTAACAGCATGTGGCAAATAGCAAGCAGCATGAGAGTGCTAGCTATTAGCACTATACAAAAGTAGCATTTTAAAAAGTGAATGACGTCCATAATGTCCATAATGTTCATTCATTTTGCCATCATTGTGCAAAGAATTCTCTGTTCTTAGAACCAGGAGGGAAAATGCAAGAAAAGCCAAACCATTCAGGCCACTTGGAAAAGTACCTCTAGCCTTTCAAAGCGGCACACAGCCAGGCCCAGTCCTACAGGTGCCCCTAGGTGGCATCAGAGGCTCATGCCTCAAAAAGAAAATCCAATGTAGAAAAACTTACTGGAAGGAGAGAACATAAAACTAGAAAGATGGGGAGGAAAATGAGTTTAACAGGTTAACAAGAAAGGTTAAATAAAATTTCTAGAATAACTCTCTTTATAGACAATGAGTCACTAGGAGATCCAAGTCTCAAATTGCAAAAGAAGAAAACTGCTTCAGGAAAATAAGAGCCAAGCAGTAAATACAACTAGTAAGATTTATTAATAGACTAGGTAAGCATTAGTATTACTGTGAAAAAGTTATGACATAATAATATGTAATATTGTTATTAGCAATATGAGCAAATATTTTATTTATTTATTTAAAAACAGAAAAATAATCACCATATATTAACCAATAATTAGCATTTGCTTTTTTCTGGGATGGTTAAAGTCTCAAAAACTAAGATCATCTCATAAACATGCCAGGAGTTGACTGCATCCACGGCCTACACCCAGTGTGAAAATTCCTGCCTCAATGATGTTAATAACAGAGCCAGCTATGGAACAGGCCATGGCAGAGGAATACACAGATTGTTGGAATCAATCTCCTTTTCACAGTCCTAGTCAGCAACCTGAGACTGAATGCAGATGGCATTAGTCTTGAAGTCAGTCTTCATCAGCTGCTTTAAAAGCAAAAGTCAAGTTATATACATGCCCTCTATAATCTTAAGATAAAATGACTCGGTTCCCTACTTACCTACTGAATAAAACTCTAATCCAAATGGTGCTAGTAACATCTGGGAATAATTGATCTCCCCTAAAGTGCTCCAGAACTCTATCTACAGACTCCTCATACAATCTGTAAGAACCCTGGAAAAAATGATGGAGAGCAGGAGAAAGAATACCAATTGGTTTCCAAATCTCCAAGTTGATTTCGGGCCTAGGACTACAATCTCTATAGCTCTCCAAGAAGTGAAGCAGCATTTCTGAGAGGGTTTTTCTGTGCTTTTCATTTATCCTTGGGTGTGAATGACTGTCAAGTGAAAAAAGAGCTTCTTCGCACCACACACCAATCAAGGTGTTCACAGGAAGTATCATTTTCTCTATTTAATAACATGATCTGTAGGTAGATACATAGAATGAACCCTATAGTCTATTATATATTAAATATAAATAATATTGTAATAATGTATATCATATTAACAAAATATCTAACACACCGGCCATATACTCATTATATAAAAGACTATATACATATATTCTATATATGACATATATAATTCATTAAGACTGATTGATTGAGTAGCATAGTATATTTCTACAAAGAGGAACGTTTTCAAAATTGAATCTCAAGCCTTCAGTTGCAAGGAATGCCATGCTAAAATTTTATTACATTGCAAATAAAAGGACCTTTTTTAAGTGAGGTTGCTATAAAAGCTCTTATTAAACCCTGACATCAGTGTTTATTTCCACTCCTTAGGGGAGTGATTCAGACTCCAAAGAGGGAAGGCAGGAGCTAAGATTCTACCTTTGGAATCAATGCTGAGTGCACAGTATCAAGCCTTAAAAGAATTACAAATATAAAGCAACCACATGGCACATTAGGAACATTTTAAATTTTATTTGGTTTATTTGTTTTTGATAAAGTGTGAGGCTAAAGATTCTGCCGTACCGACTGCCACGAATTAAGCCGTCTGCAAACTTTACACGCTGGTCTACAGCCACTGTCACAGCCAACACACCATGTGTGCTGGAATGATTCAGATAAATGTTTCTCATCAACTTAGTAGAGATCATCTCTATTCCAACAAAATCCAGCCGATCTCAAAACAAGCATGTAAATTTATGTTGCTAATTTTATAAGAGAATTGTGCTTCCAAATGTTTCTATGCGGTGGCATGTTCAATATGGAGCAACTTGTAAAGCTATCAATAAATCATACCGAATAAAGATCCTTAATTGCCAAAGTTAATAGTTAATAGCTATAGCTCTGCCCTGCCCTTTGAGTTTTTTCATTATTTTCTACTGATGGGGGAGGGGTGGTGGTGGTAAAATTTACACATAAAACTATTTAGATACCTCCTTAGCCTTCAGAATCCTAGCAAACATTAATGGATCCTTTTTTAAAGATCAAAGTGGACTCTACTCTATATCATTGATTTTGATTCGCCTCTCCTCTTGTATTGATATCATTCTCCTTTGACAACAAATTGTAGCAAGACTTGAAGTCAGTTAAGGAAAGCTTCCAAGTTTGTTTGTTGGACTGTTTGGGCTATTGTAGGCTCTATGGATTTCCAATTAAATTTTAAGTTAAGAAATTATAATTTCTTTAAGAAATTTAAGAAATTATAATTTATTTTTTTACAAAAAAAAATGACTGATGTTGCATTGAACCTATAGATTCACTTAGGAAGAATTGCTCTCTTAAATATTATCTTTCAATCCATAAAATGATATGTCTCTCCACTTACTAAAGCCTCTAATTTCTCTACACAATATATTTATTTTTCAGTGGACAGATACTGCATCTCTCTTGTTGAATTTGTTCATAAGAATTTGATGACTTTTGATCATCAAAACGATCTTTGATGCTTCATAAATGGAATTTTTAAATTTCATTTTCCAGTTTGGGGCAGTTAATATACGAAAATACATGGATTTTTATACAGTGATGTTGTATCC